CCGCATGAGCCCTTGATAGTTTATAAATGGGTATTTTGTCATATCTTGCCCTGTCCGACGTCTCCCTTCATCCACTTTTTGGTTGTCTGTCCCCCCAGGCATTCTTTTTAATGCCCCCAATATGTAGTAAAAGGCTTTATATTTACTTGCTATTAAGAGAAAAACTGCAGGCTTGAGGAGTCTCCAAGTTCTCCAGTGAAGATCAAAGGAGGCGTATAGAGCTTACTCTGATTGTTAACACACTTTCTTCTTCTCTCTCACCAGGATCGAGATGACCACAGTCACCCCTTTGGGGGCTACCACCTTTTTCTCATTGAACATGACCACCAGGGGAGAAGACTTCCTGTATAAGAGTAAGGGCACCTTGACTGGAGGGGTGGGGAAGGGCTGGGTGTCAGTCACACAGCTCCTGAGCGGGACAAACACCACAGCCTACGGTAGAGGTCAAGTGTAGCCTTTGGAAGCAGATGGCCGGGCCTGGCCACCTTGGTGGCCCTGGGTACTTGACTTCACTGCTCTGCGCCTCGCTTTCCTCATCCGCAAGGTGACGGTATTCATTGGCGCTACCACATAAGGGAGTTGTGAGACCTAAACAATACAGTCACTGTAAAGAGCTTAGAATAACTTGGGGCACATACTACTTACCTGACAAGTATCGTGATGAAGGTGAGGGTTACGGTTACTGTCATTTTGCTACTATTTTTATGATGGGAACTTGGGGTCTAGCGTACAATAGAAATTTGAATCTTTTATAAGATGACCCTAAGTCTTAAAAGATAGTTACTTTCATATTAATTTTGAAAGCCAAAAACATCCCATCAATTTATGAGACAGGTAGTATATTTAGGGGCCATGAGTTCATCCTGGGGAGACATTTGCTAGGACATGCGGGTCCCTGGAAGAAGTCATTGGAGGATGCCTCTTTCGAAGGCCAGTTCATTGTAAAAGGTCATTTGGGGGCCATTTCAGCCATTTTGGCCGGCTCCCTCTGCATGTAGAGCAGGAGTTGGAAGTATCCTCAAGATAAATATGGAGCCACTAATTGAAAGGTCAGTGGTTCAAGCCCCCAGCTCCATGAGAGAAAAATGCAAGTCTGTTTCCATGAAGATTTACAAGCCAGGGGAAGCTCTACTCTGCCCTGTAGGGCCACTGTGAATCCGAACAGACTCAATAGCAGTGAGTTTGGGGGTTTTGTTTTAATATCAATATAGTATAGACATTGATGAAACTTTTTACCTGAAAAAAATAATAATAAATTCACAACTGAAAACTGATGGAGCAGCTCTAGTCAGTCCTACAGGGTCACCGTAAGGAGGAATTGTCTCAGTGGCACAGGGCTGGGTTTATTTTGGTGTCTCCTCTGGAGTCCCAGAAGGGGTTACCCTGGGGACAAGGTCCTCGGGTGAGCTTGCTTCGAGCTGGGAGAAGAGCCCGATGTGGGCCCAACAGCTCAGAGTGCCAGCGATTCGCTCTGTCCTTTGAATGGCTGGTTTGTTGGCAGTGGATGCCAGGCCTGCCCACCTTCTCCGAGTATGGTAAGCATGGGCATCACTGGGAGACATGGATGATTCTGTTTTTGTTTAACTTAGATGATTATGCCCCTCTGCTGCCACCAGACAGGATCATCAGATTTAGCCAATAAAGAAAAGCACCCACCGTTTCTATTTTAAGATAAACAATGAATATCATTTAGTGGAAGGACGTTCCATACAATCTTTGGGACAGAGTTATACTGAAAAAGTAATCTGATTTCTATGGACACTTAAATGTAGATGGGTGTGCTCTATTTTATCTGGGTATCCTACCCCCAGGGGACTTTTGGTAGGGTCTAGAGACATTTTGGGGTGCTATTGGCATATCCTGGGCAGAGACCAGAGAAGCTGCTAAACAGAGGACCAGACCCAAACCCAGCCCACTCCTGTCCCGTTCATTCTGACTCAGAGCAACCTTGTAGGACCCAGGAGAACTGCTTCTTGGGTTTTCTGAGACTGTAAATCTGTACTGGAGCAGACAGCCTCATGTTATCCCAAGGCGTGGCTGGGGGGTTTGAATAGCCCCTCTTGTGGTGAGGTGCCCGCTGTACCAGCAGGACTCCTATTCACAGGACAGCCCCCCGGGACCCAGAATGAACCAGTTGAGCTTGAGAACCCTGAGCTACTGCACCCTCCCCAGGAAGGACAAAGGAAAGTGACTGGACTGGTTTTCCCACCTCCTCCTTTCTCCCTCCAGTCTTGCTTCCTGTGAGTCTTTGCATCATTTTGTTAAGTAAACAGCGTATGAAAGCATTACATGTATTCCAAAAAGTGCACAGATCACACGTGCACAGCTGGGTGCATGGTCTCAAAGTGAACACACCTGTGTAAGCAGCCCCCCAGGAGGATCCCAGGAGTCTCCGTGCTCTTCCAGCCACATCTCCCACCCACCCAGGGTACCCACTCTTCCGACTCCCACCCCATGGATGAGTTCTCCCTGTTTTGAATTCAATTTAAATGGAATCATACTGTGCATTCTTTGGTGTCTGGCAGCTGTTGCTCAACATTGCATTTATGTGCACATATTTTAATGGTTGCAACATAATGTGTGTATATTATTTTAGTTTCTACACTTATGTCATCCTAAGTGTCCTGTATGTTACCCCAGCTTTCATAATCATCTTTAAATTGTTGTATATTTCACAGACTACATATGTATACCATAACTAACCACTCCCATTCTTATGGATTGAATTATGTCCCCCCCCCCAAAAAAAATTTTTATTGTGGACTCATAACCCCTATACATGTGGATATGATTCCATTGGGGAGCAGGAGTTTCTTTATTTTTCTGGTGTGTCTTGAACCTTGTCTTCGTTATCTAGTGCTGCGATAAAGAAATACAGTGGGTGGCTTTCACAAACAGAAGCTTAATCTCTCACAATTAAAGAGGCTGAGAGTCCAAATTCAGGGTGCTAGCTCTAGGAAAAGCTTTATCCTTGTGTCAGCTCTAGTGGAAGATTCTTGTCTCCTTTCAATATCTGTAAGCTTGCTGTACCTAGGTGTCAACCTTCCCCTGGGTCTAGGAGGTTCTCAGCACAGGGACCCTTGGTACAAACTACACAACCCACTCCCCACTCATCTTTCCCTGTGACAGGTGCCCCCTTCTCTGTTGGCCTTTTCTCTGTTTTCATCTCATACATGTCATAACTGGGAGACTCCCCTTAGATCCAGACCAGAGCCGAGTGCTGAGGGAGGCTGTAGCAGTCCACGCTCATCGCCTTACAACTGATTGGATGACCGCACCAGATCACATCGTGGGGGATGATTATATCATTACACAGCTGTCAGACCACTGAGAATCAAGGCCCTGCCAAGCTGATACTGATTAGTGGCAGGGGTGCTACAATTCAATCCATGAAAGCCTAGTGACTTTGGAGATTTGAAAGGAGCAGATTAGACACCCAGCAAGCCCAAATGGGGAAAACTAGATGCCACGTGGAGCTCTCCAAGGAGCTCTGGGAAGACCGTCAGAGGATGTGAGACAAGGGCTCTCTCCGCTCATCCCCTGACCGGGCCTTGAATTCAGGCTTCTAGCCTCCTAAACAATGAGAAATAAATATGTTAAGGCCAGCAGCCACTTCTGCTGTAGCAACACTAAGAAAGTGCTGCTGTGTTGTGCTGATTTTTTGTTGTTGTTGTTTTGTTTTTAAAGTGAGATATACTGCACACACTAGAGGGGGTGTCTAAGATGGAGGAGTGGAGGAGTGGGAATGGAGGGTGACCCAAACCAAAACCCAAACCCACTGCCATCAAGTGGATTCTGACACACAGCAGCCCTGCAGGACAGAATCGAATTGCCCCAACGGGTTTCCTAGGCTGAAATCTCTAGGGGAGAATCGCCAGGTCTTTTCTCCCATGGGATCACTGAGTTCAAGCCACAGACCTTTTGCTTAAACCACGTGCTTAACCATTGTCAAGTTCCTTCTCTAAGAAACAGTAAGGCACTCATGTTTAAAATGTTGCAGTAAATATCTTCATTCATACAACTTTTGCTATATGTCGGATTATGCTTTTAAGGTACAGTCCCTCAAATCAAAAAGATTTAAAGTATAAACATTGTTAAGGGTGTTAATATTTTTAATATCTATTCTGATAAGGATGTTAGTCCTGAACCTATACTTAGTTTGACATTGAGACTGGGAGCTGATATTGACATGAGAATCTGAGATGTTATCAACAAATAGTGAAAACTGAAAACAACAAACAAGGATAGACCCTCACTAGGGAATTTGTAAACAGACTATGATACATCCAGACAGTGGAATACTATGCAGCCATGAACAATCATGAAGGAAACTATGTAAGGACATGGAAAGGTGGCTATTGTTATAAAGCAGGCTGTGGGACGCGGTGTCATTCTCATAGAGTGCATATTCTTACATGTGTAGACGTATTTCCTTAAGATGCATTTTCAGGATAGGGAAAGCGATAGAGGTGATAACTGGATGAACGGTTTCTTAGGGTTATGGCAAGGGAGGTTGGGGATAAGTGGGAAGCTAATGAGTACAAGAAAGAAGAAAATATTCCAAAATTGATTGTGGTGATGATCGCACAGTTATTTTTAATGTTTGAACTGTTGAATTATGATATACAAATTATATGTCAATAAAACTGTTAAAATTTTAAAATCTTTTTAACTTTAAAAAAAGATACATAAGAAAGATGCATGTTCATAAATGAAAACTAATACGTTATTCAAAAAGAGATAAGTAGGTATTTCATAATCATGTATTCAAAAACACAACATAGTGGTGAAATGTATACATGTCTGCAAGATCAGGTCTTTGAGCAATGAGGATTTTATTCCCATCTCCCACCCCCTTCTTTGCTTGTTTTTACATTTTAATAGTTGCCTATAAACATCACTTACTACCCTTGTGTTATCAACAAGAGGGAAGGTTGTTTTATTTTTCTGTTTCTCAAAAGAAATGTGAAGCTCTATTGGGCTGCTGAGCACATGACTGGACCTGAGGCAGAGTTTGGGCAGGTGAAGTGCTACTGCGCTGGACCCTCCAAGCCCCGTCAGGTAGAGGTGTGCCCTAGAGCAGCGGTTCTCACCTTCCTCGTGCTGAGACCCTTTCATGCAGTTCCTCATGGAGTGCTGACCCCCAACCATCACATTGTTTTCCTTGCTGCTTCATCACTGTCATTTTGCTACTGTTATGAATTGTCATGTACATATCTGATGTGCAGGATGTATTTTCATTGTTACAAATTGAACATAATTAAAGCATAGTGATTAATCACAAAACAATGTGTAATTATATATGTGAAATATTTATGTGTTTTCTGACGGTCTTAGGTGACCCCTGTGGGGTCGTGACCCACAGATTGAGAACGGCTGCTCTAGGCAGCCATGAATCTATCCTGGGTCAGAGGTGAGCTTCCCAGGACATCTCGCTCTCTCATTTCCCATGACCCAGTGGGGGTTGTCAAATGCCACAGTAGCCCCCCCCCCCCACACACACACACACACATACCCTTGTCTGCCTCTGAGTCTGCACTTCCCATCTCCTCTCCACAGGTTCGGGCGCCATCGTCGCTGCCATTGTGGTGGTTGTCATTGTCATCTTCACCGTGGTTCTGATCCTGCTGAAGATGTACAACAGGTATGGGATGTCCCGGGCTTGAAACTGGCCTGCTCCCTCAGCAAAGGCAGAGGGAACAGGACCTAACATCTGTGGTCGCAGTCACGGGCCCAGCAGTATGACTCCATCCTCAAATGCTCCAATCCTTGGTGGGTCCTTTTCTGACATCGGTACCTAGAGAAATATTTTAAAGCTATAATGATAATGGCTCTGAGCACTATGATGAGTGCTGGTATGTAACTGAGAGGCAGTGGAGGGGTGCTCCTGTCCTCTTCTGTTGGCCAGCCCCTGCTGTCGAGCTGCCACAGCAGGGGTTGAAGCGGCACTTACTAGAACCCACATACTCCCTGACTCCACATCTGGAGACCAAACTGGGAGAAATCGTGTTATTTGACCACATGAAGATAAATGTGTTAACCTTCATAGTCTCACTGTCATTTTGCTGAAGGGTGATTCTTTTGAGGGAAGAAATTTTTAAAAAGGCTCTTATTACAACCACCTCAGAGACCCGGCAGCCATTAAAAAATAGAGCTATATAGATGGGTAGATAGTTAGAATTGGGAGTGTATTTTTTATGAGGAAAGAGGTTTATGATTTATTATCAACATTTACAAAACCACACCCACATTATGATCATAGATGTGGGGCATGTACACATCCATACCCCCGGGAAATTGGGGAGGTCCACAGCAGACTGTTGACAATGTCTGCATGGTAGGACGCTGGTGGTAAGGAGAAATAGTATTTTCTTATTTTTGAATAGCAGTGTTGTGGATTGAATTGTGTCCCCACCCACCCATGCACCCTCCCTGCCAAATAGGTACTGCGAATTCTAACCTGTATGCCTAGGGTTATAATCCCATTTGGGAGTGAGTTGCTTTTGTTACATTAATGAGGCAGATTAGTGTAGCATGTTTTCTGAACACTCTCTTTTGCGATATAAAAGAGGTTAAACAAGCAAGCAGAGGTGAGGGAAGATAGAGGCTTGGTTACATGGAGGTCTCCAAGGAACCAGAAGCCACAAGTTGAAGAGACAATGGGAAAGAAAGTGCTTTGAAAATGAGGATGGCAACATACACACAAATGTGAGTGATGCAATTGATGCATGGGTTGTTATAAGAGCTGAAAGAAGCCCTGCAAAATGATAACAGGAGACAAAGGCCCTTTCCCAGATCTGACACCTAGAGAAATGCTGCCCCTGAACTCAGACCTCTGCCCTCCTGAACTGTGAGAAAATGAATTTTCATCTGTTAGAGCCGTCCCCTTGTGGTATTTCTGTTATGACAGCACTAGAGAGGCTAAGACAAGTCAGAAGCACGCACTGCTTTTATATGCTATTAATTCAACTAGTAAAGGCAGCTAATGTGCCATGCATGGCTCGGTAATCTTGACATGTATTAACGTATCTGATCCTCCCAACCCCACAGTGTGGTAATTACTGCTATCTCCAATACTATAGGTCAGGGAACTGAGGCAAAGACAAATTTAGTAACCTGCCCAGATTAACCTCCCATCCATTGCCGGGAGTCGATTCTGACCCCCGGTGGCCCTGTGAGACAGGGTAGAACTGCCCCTGCGCTTTGAAAACCTGTAATCTGTATGAAAGCCGACTGCCTCATCTTTCACCCACAGTGAACCTGGTGGGTTTGAACCACAGACCCTTGGATTAGCTGCCAAGTGCTTAACCAGTGTGCCATGCCACCAGGACTCCTTCTGCCCAAGGTTATTCAACCCTAATTGTCAGAGTTGAGATTCAAAAACAGTCTGTTTTGCTTCACAGTGAATATTCCCACCATTTCAGATAACAAAAATATTAAAAGTTGTTTTGTAAAATCTGTAGGGTATCACAATATGGATCTGTCCCAAACCAGGAAGTGGCATCAGACCTTAATGTCAATCCTCCGTCTTTGTTGGTGCTCGCAGCCTCTTTTCATCCTCCGCTGTTTACACTGAGGTCTGGGGTGGGAATGAGGAGAGCTGAAGGGAGAACTCATGCTGTTCCACGCAGGCACGTCTGTTCATCTCTGTGTCTGATCTTGGAATCTTAACATGGAAGAGTGTGGAAGTGTGGCATTTGCATCATGGCGGCCTTGGAGAAAGCCCTGTTTCTTAAGAGTGTTTAGAGGGGAAGGTGTGGTCACTGCACTAACTGCAAATAGTTCACAATTTGAAAAGACCTGTGTGCGCACACACGTGTGTGTTTAAACGAGAGAGAGAGAGAGAGTGTCAATGTGGCGAAACATGAACATCCGGTGAATCCAGGTGAAGGGACCCTAGTGTTCTTTGATGCAGCTGCTTGAGGATTTGAAATTTTATAAAAAGAAGCAAGTTGAACTAACAAGGTGAAATCAACTGTAGACATTAGAATTAATGCTTACTCTGCTGCTAAACTTTGTGGCATATGAAATGAAAGGTGGGGCTATACACGGTATATATATGTATCATCTCTTCTTAGCCATGTGAAATAGTCTTAGGTGTTTCCAGCAATGAGCTTAACAGGTGTAATGAGACTGCAGGATTGAACCAGGAAAGTTGAATGTCCTGGTCTTGTCTTTCATAGGGTCAGCCATCTGATACTCATTGTTAATAGAAACAATTTAAATTAAGTAACTAATCTCAGGCAAAGAAAACATTTAAAAGGAAGCCAAAACACCGCAGGGTCAGACTAGCTAAGTTCCTTTTCAGATGTAAAGCCTGTGGTTGACCAGTAAGCACTGTGATTTAATCCTGATCTGCATCACTCTTCATAGACCACGTTCACGGCACCCGATCCCCGTCAAATACAAAGCGAAAGGTCGAACCTTGCGTGTGTATCTCATTACAGGAAAATGAGGACCAGGCGAGAACTGGAGCCCAAGGGCCCCAAGCCAGCCTCCTCTTCTGCCCTGAGCCCAAACAACAACAACAGCCAACAGCCTGCCACTGTAACCTTCACCCCTGTTGATGTCCACATGGAGAACCGATGACGACACCGCCATCACCACCACATTACCTGTGCTCTCTCAGCCACTGTCCCAAGAGCATTCTCCAGAATCAAGACCAAGAAGCACATTTCTCCTCTGGCTGCTTCACCTTAGTTCTTCCAGTCACGTCAAAGGAAGCATCTTTGTCTGCGGTCTCTGATGCTTCCTTCATGCAACCCTGGGTGCCATCCCGCTCTGCCACCCCACCCATACCCATATCCCTGCTTTCCTCCTCCCAGAAAGCGACAGGACTTTGTTTTGTCATCTGATAAGGTAGAGCTATGTTGGAAATCCACTGAGAAGGGTTTGGGTTTCTCTCCCCGCACACAGCATTGCTAGACAGACAGACAGACATATAGCTCAGGGGTCTTATGGCCAGGTGCTTGGTGTCAAGGTTTGCTTCTGAGAACCTCACAATAGGGTCTGCCCCTGGAGTCATCTCAGAATCGGCATCAAACCCACAGCTTTGTAGCAAAATATTCAATCCCAACACCAGGCAAAGGGGAATTTGTTTTGACTAACTTGGCAGAAAACCTTTCTTTTCCAGTTGTAAGGGACCACTGGTTAGCTCCTAATAACTGGTCAGCTTGTTTCCCTCCTTAAGAGGAGTTACAGGAAAGCCTGAGTTCTCAAAAGGTTTCTACTTCACTTGTATAGGGAGCAAAACCTCACTGCCATCGATCGGTTGATTCCAACTCATCTATTCCTACGGAGTCAGAGTGAAAGGACCGTGAGCAATAACTGCCTTTGGTTGAGTGTGCTGCTGGAGCAATCCTGATGGCTGGTCAGGGCTCCTCAACGACAGGGCTGAGCAACCCTGACCCTGTTCCAGTTCTTGGTCCCAAAGAGCGGAATTCCAACAGCCCGACTCTCCTGTGAACACTTTCCCCCCACTGACCAGTATTTGGAGACTGATTATAACTCTGTTTGTCACCTGTGCCCTTCCAGGTCACCTTGCGGAGATTCAAGGAATATTGAACGCACCACACAAGCTTCACAAACCATTTCTCTGTATGGAGCTGATCTCTGACTCTTTAGCCTGGAAAGCCATCTACTGACAGGGAAAAACAATTTGAAAACAGGAAGACCCTCTTCCTTCTTGTGTGGCCTGGGAAAAGTGATCCGTTTCCTAGCCCTTCAGAGACATAGTAACAGACTTCTCCTAGTGTTTGATACCTGTAGTTAAGGGCAGTCAATACTGACTCATATCAACGCTATCGAACAGAGTAGGGCTGCCCTGTAGAGTTGTCTAATCTTTATGGGAGAAGCCCTGGCAACGCAGTGGTTCAGTGTTCCATTGCTAACCCAAAGGTCAGTGGTATGACCCCACCAGCAGCTCCAGGGGAGGAAGATGTGGCAGGCAGCATCGGTAAAGGTGCAGGTATTATGTGCCAAATAAAGGAGCCCCATGGGATGGTTCTGCCTGGGTCTGAGTCAGAAGTCGTTTGACCACAGGCAGCAGCAGTAACAGCCTTTACAGGAACACATCACAGGGCTTTTCTTCTAGGCAGCAGCTGGTGGGTTTGAACCACTGACCTTTGAGTTAACAGCACTTAATCATTGAGTGCCGGGGGCTCCTTTGCTTGGCACATAATAGCTGTATAAAAAGAGGGAGCCAGCCAGCATGCTCCTGAAATGAGGATGTATCCTATAATTAATAGGTCTGTTGATGTCATTTTTAGATCAATTGTGCATCTTACAATTGGTGGCCTCTCAGAAGCAAGGAAATAATAAATCCTTCTGTTACAGAAAGTGATGTGCTCTGCTTTTTAACCTCAAGTTGATGGGAGTCTCTCTCCCTTTTGTGGCTAGAAATCCCTTTTGAGGGGAAATCGAGGCTCAGAAAGGAAGGAGACATGTCCCAGGCCACCCAGATGATGCCACCCCACGATTCAAACACTTGAGTGATCTGAAGAAATGCTGGCTGGTTCCTCTCCCCAGCCACTCTTCCCCTCGCATGCGGAGATGTCCACCCCGAAGAGCCAGGAGCTTCGCAAGGCGCTTTCCCAGAAATCATCTCATAGGCTCTAATTTTCCCAATAGCCCCGAGGAATTTGGTTTTCCCATTTTACAAATAAGAAACAGGGGCTAAAGTAGCAAAGGAACTTTTCTGAATCCCACAGCTCGTCCAGTTGCAAACCCTAGACTCAGAATCCATTCTCTCTGACTCCAAAGTCCATCTTGTTATTCCCTCACGTGCATGCCTGGCCCTCCTGCCTCAAAGAAGCACAGACTCTTCGTGGGCTGAGCAAACGGAGGGCAGACCAGTCCATCGGGCTTGAACGGAGCGTCCACTTGAGCTGACAGTGGGTACCCAGCCACTTCAGGAGCTCCCATCGGGCCTCCATTAGCGCAGCCAACGGAGCTGTCTAAGCTCGGCTCCATTCAGCCCAGCACTGTGGCCCCAACAGCAGGAAGAGGAAGGATATCTAACCAGGGCAAAGCCATGTCTTAGACCCCAAGCTTTCTTGCCTCCCCTAAGTGTATTCTGCTTAAAGAGGCTTTTTGTTTTGTTTTATTTTTTTAATGTTTGAAAAGCTGCGATCATAAAACCCACTTCTTTTACCCACAGTGGAATCTTCCTGGGTTATCCCCCGTCTGTGTTCATCAAATAAGTGAAGGGTCGGAAGAGGAGGAAAAAGGGGAAGTGGAGTAGTCAGGAGAGAGAGAAAAGGAATTTAGTGCCATGTTCATAACTAATGGAGATAAGCTCAATAATCGTCATTTCAGAGCTCCTATGTGCAAGTTGAGGTGCTACTAAACATTAAAATGTGGCCCCTGCCCCCGGAGCCTGCAGTCAGGCTCATGTGGCGGGGATCTTACAACGTGGTTATGTATTTCATTTCTGACAACATGCCTTTCTAAACCGAGCAGGGGCTGCCTTATTTGGCCACCTGACTCAATAAAATAGATTAAGTGCTTAAAGAAAAAAGATTTTGCAAATAAAAAGATTTCAATCAAACAGTGTGGAGTTGATGTTAATTATGATTAGAGCTAATTGTGTCCGTGAACTTTATTTTCCTGTTATGAAAGCCCGCGTCTTTTCAAGCGTATTCTCACTGGTAAAAACTGTTGAAATTGATGTGCTGCCATCAACAGAATTAGAAAGCTTGGTGTCTTGCTCAAGTATTACAAAAGGAATCTAAATTTCACAGCCTGCTGTTAAGTTCCCAAGCGCTGAGATGCCAAAGTTTGGGGACCCCAGGAGTGGAAGGGGATGTTAGAATGAAACCCAGATCACCACTAGTGGTGTTTACCACAAACTACCCTCCAACAACGCGCTAAGCATAGATGGGACCTTTATGCCCAGGGACCCTAGCCCTTACAGCTTCCCTGGGAATCATGGTCCTCTCGCTTATATAAGGGGAGATCCAGGGCCAGTGTAGTAGCCTGGCTTTGGGTGATGCAGTGAATGACTGCCATTCTGGTAACCCTTCCCTTGCCATTGGAATCCTCCCAGATGCAAGACCAGCCCACGCGACAAAAACTTTAATAAAAGGCCAGCAACTCACTTTCCTATATCCTTTGGAGTTAAGGTGAAGGCACGCGATCTAGGCTCTGCCATGGACTTGGAATTCAGAAGCTGGCAACGTAGAGGATTAGGAAGTGTGTAGAATCTATTCTGGTGGCATTTCAACAGCACACGTTCTAGCAGCAGTGGTGTTGAGTATCCAGAACCCGATGTCCATAGACCTGATGGAAAGATATGCCCAACAGCAGGGAGGCCTGTAACAAGTTAGTTCATGTGGATTTAAGCATCATACCTGGAAGCACACCGCTGACCTTGACTCTGGCCCTCTTGTAGCTGAGAACCATTAACGGTGTGGGAG